GGTTTGGTCTTTAAATTTTATTTTTAGTTCTCCATGTAGAATGATTATAGTCCAGTAGAAATATTTTCCTTTCTTTGGAAGATTTGTGGGCACACTCATTAAGATGGTTTATTAGTTAGGGTTCTCTAGAGTAACAGAACTTACAGAATTAATCTCTCTATACATATAGAAAAGGAATTCATTAGGATGACTTATAGGTTGTGATCCCACTAGTCCAGCAATAGCTGCTTATGAGTGGAAGGCTCAAGAACCGGTAGTTGTGAGGTCAACAAAGCTGGGTGTCTCATTTGGTGCATAGTGTATGCTGAAATTCTGAAGATGTAGACTCTAATGCTGGTGAAGGGTTGAATTTCCCAGTAAAGGTTGTAGCAGGCAGGCAATGAGAAAGAGCACTTTCTTCTTTCATGCCCTTTATTTAGGCCACCAGCAATCTGTGTCTAGACTAAAGATGGATCTTTCCACTCAGGAGATCTGGATTAAAATTTTTTATTTCACCTTAAGTGCCTTCCTACTTCAAAAGATTTAATTAAGAAAAAAAAAATCCACACAAGTGTGGCCAGTCATTTGGGCTTTAGTTAACTCCAGTCGTAGCCAATTTGACAACTAAGAATTGCCATCGCAGATGCCTTATATCTTCTATCAGTTTAAGACTTATGATCATCATGTTAAACCTCAAACAACAGCCTGTCAAAACTTGAGGTACTTTGCATAGGTATTAATCAGTAATTCATGAATATGACCATTTATCAAGCACTCTCAACACATCTTATTGCTGATATTTTATAACAATGATTCTTGGACCCATCTTAGGAGCCTCTGATGCAGTAGATCTGCACTAGAGTCCAATCATGTCTATGAGAAGCAAATGACCAGATGGGTCTGAAGCAACACCTGGGATTCCACTTTGGAAATCATGATAATAAACTACTTTCTAGCAGTCCCAGGTTCTATTAGCAACCTTTAGAATTATTCTCAGCTAAAGTAGGAAAATGATTTAGTATTTCCTGGTTTAGGCATGACATTTATTCTAGGAATCCTTCCATAGAATTTCACACACTTCTGATCTGAGATAACTTTTGTGCCAAAAATGCATGTGTTAGTTTTTTTTTTTCTCCCAGCTCTGTAAGATGTACCAGGAGAATAATTTAAAGGGAAGAGCAATTTAGTTGTGCCCAAAGATTCAGAGTTTTATCCCAGGGTTCCCTTGCTGCATCCCTAAGGACCTATAAGGATACAGAGCACTATAGTGAGCAATATGCTACAGAGCAAAGATGCTCATGTCTTGGTAGACATGAAGCAGGTCCCAAGGGCATCATTTCTCTAGCTTGACCATACTTGTTACTTTTCATAATTTTCTCCAAATTACCACAGTAGTACAAACCATCAGTAAATACTTAATTACATCACAACCTTCTAAATTGAATTGCTCTCCAAAACACATCAATTGTAATTTCCTAGATAAACCATAGATATATGTTTCTTAGAACCTCATTCATATATAGGTGGAAGAAGCTTTTGCTCACACTGAGAATTAACATGGGCCATTATATATTCTTATTTGTTAATTTTTTACTGCCTGAATTCTCTTTTTCCAGACAACAGACATCAGGAAGCCAAAGTCCCAGTGGCCATCCGGATCCTAGATGTCAATGACAATGCTCCTAAATTTGCTGACCATTATGAAGGCTTTATCTGTGAGAGTGATCAAACCAAGCCACTCTCCAACCAAGTAAGGCTGGCTCCCTGTCTCCTGGCCAGAAGCAATGTATTTGAGATCTTGTTTTTGTGATCGTCAAAAGTTTGTACTCATCCGAAATTTTTTGGTGCATTAATGCTATGTTGATGCGATGTTAAAATCAGAGGTTTTAGCCTGTTAGAAAATTTTGCGTAAGTGCTATGCCGATGTCATCATGATTTATTTATGAGCCACCTTTCTCTTTCAGCCAATAGTTACAGTTAGTGCGGATGACCAGGACGACACAGCCAATGGACCAAGATTCATCTTCAGCCTACCCCCTGAGATCATTCACAACCCAAATTTCACAGTCAGAGACAACAGAGGTTTGTACTAAAATGTCTATGCATTCAAAGAAGTAGAAATGGAAAACAAAGGCTTTCCATAACACACAACACAAATATTTTCACTACTCTAATAATGCCTTCCTGTTGAAGAAGAAACAAGGAATAATAATGCCACTTCTGTTTTGACACAGGGATTCATTTGATACATATGAATAAGTGAGTCTAATTTTATTTTCCTCTGTGTGTGTGTGTGTGCGTGTGTGTGTGTGTGTGTGTGTGTGTGTGTGTTGGCTTTGATATTCATGAAGCAGCAGGAAAACCAAGCGGGAATGCTTACAGGGTCAATATGCAAACAACTCCATTTATCTAATTTTTAAAAAAGATTGATAAACCCTTCCGGGAAGCATGGCTTTATGAATATTGATATCAAGTAAAGCATTAAAAGAGATTAGTTCAACTATGTAAGGCAGCATAATCTTTCACACACAGGCTTTCCCTCCAAACATAGTTGCAATGCAATGGCACTGGGAGCAAACACTCCATATCTAAAAGCGCTGACAGTGGTATTGCCAGAAGGGGTTAAAATGAAGCACTATTTGTTCATTGCAAAAAAATTGACAGTATTCAATTCTTGATTCTCATTCTGTCAGTCAGAGAGGTCACAGACTTGCAGGTTGTCAGGAGATGCTTTGATTGGGGAGACCTGGCATGTCACAGTCCCTAGACAAAGTTAGTGGCAGAAGTTGAGAGTAAGAAGTTGATCATTTTGATTAACAGACCATACTACTATGCTCTGAGCATTTCTTCTCAGTGGGAATTCTGTAGGTAAATCTGTAACAATGTCAGCCTATGAAATGCAGAGACCAATGAAACCATCCAAAACGGAAGACAGGTAGGCCTTCAATACATGGATGTTTTAATAGCCCCCCGTTATGTAAGTCTGCTGCCTTCTTCAAGACTGAAAAAAGACTAAGGACAGAAGTGTCAAATTAATGCAAGAGCACTGTAATTTCCCCATCCCTCTTATGATTGCCATCAATACCCTCATGCCAGCAGTTATGATCTGAGCATCATGTTGAGGTTCCTCTTCTACTCTGTTCTCTTACTTTTCATTATACCACAAGCAGTAGTCATTCTTACCATTTCCATTTGACAAGTAGGAAAGTGAAGCACAAAGCCATTAAATGATTTTCCTAAAGTCAACTATGCAAATAGAAAGTAGAGTTGAGTTTTAAACCAAATGGTCAAGCCTAATGTTACTGTTTTAACTTCGTGGGCTGATAATAAAGTGGAGCAATATTCTTTATGTTATTGGATCTGGAGGGGATGGGATTTGACATATTTTAATATTTCTTGAACTGACTAGGACATTTAATTATGGAACTTATAAATTAAGCATATATCAGAATGAGACTATGAGGGAAAATGCCTAAGGTATTGTGACAGGGACTTTTCTCTCCCAATGCATTGCTTTCTCAAAGGCAAATCCTCTGCAGAGATATGTGTTTTAAAGCATCCTTACTGGAAAGCTAGGGCTCACTTTTAAAATAGCCCTTATCGTTTCAAAAATAGCAACAACTCTACTTTTCATCCTTTTATTTTGTCCTTAACCTTCACCTTGTTGGCTTTATGTGTAGGAGTAAGCTCCTTCAGGAATAATTGAACCAGACCCGGGACACAAGCACATAATCTACTCTGCTCTGAAGGATGTATCAGGAGGATTGCAAATTCAAGGACTTCCTAAACCCACAGAGTGGGTTCAAGGAACGCTTGCACAACTTAGCAAGATCCTGTCTCAAAAACAAAGTTAACTAAAAAGGCTCAAGATGTAGGTGATAGCTAGAATGTTTTCTTAGTATGCGAGAACCACTAAATTCAAATATTCAATCAGTAGTATAGGAGGGAGGGAGGAAGGCAGAGAGAGAGAGGGAGGGAGGAGAGAGAGCAAGTGGGGGTAGGAACTAGGGTAGGCAGAAGTTTTCAGCCAAGGGCACACACCTTCAGTTGGTACAGAGATTAATATGTAACTTTCTTTTGTAATGTTTCTCCAGTATAGGAGACCAGGAGTGCGCGTGAGAACTTAATCAAGGTGTACTTAGCTAAGTTGAGAAAGGTCTGCATAAAGATTCCAGAAGGCTTTCTGAGGTATTTGTGTGTCTGTATTTTAGCACAAGGGAATCCTGCTACAGTAGTTAGCTGTTTCCACCTTTCCAAGTTAGTTCCCAGTACTAGTTTGGATTGACAGCTTGGGTTTTTTTTTCTTTCACATTTTGCAATGTTAATATTAGTTTAACTTTTACTTGCCTTTGTCAGTACTGAGGAGATTTGATTGGCTGTTGAGAAAACTCTGGTTGTGCTCTTATCTGTGACCCGTGTGTTGTGTGTTGGTATAATCACCAAATTACCTTTGAAGTCTAATGCTTTGCTCTCTTCCTATCAAGGTCTGTATTACAGCTTGCCTCCTGTGAACAGCAGGCTGTCCTAGGCTTCGCTGAACAGGCCAGCTTCATCTTCATCACCTGCTCAGTTGTTTTTTTTTTTTTAATGTGAAATCATATTTTGTCTCCATTAACCTCTGTAAACACTGCACTGTGGCATACTGTCCTCGAGAGGTTTCTAAGTATTTTATTTTACCACGGTACTTTGTGGATGCCGTCTATAATATCATGGAGATTCTATTGCCGCTGATGAGCCAGCCAACGACACAATCCATCTTCCCCACCTTCTCTTTTAGGAGACTAATCCTACTGTTGAGCTATACTTTTGCAGGGAATTGCTACTTCTTAAGAAAAATGACTTTATTAACTATGGCAAACAGTTAATGAAAACTCCCATGTTTAGTGCTATTACAGAACCTCAAAGCAAACACAGTCCTATAATTATCATTTAATAGAGTTACTTTCTGCTGGCTCCTAAAAGTAATTACATATTGAAGTAATCCAAAAGGAATAATCACATTCCACATCCTATTAATAGCCTACTGAGTTACCAAATTTCTCGGCAGAGACTATTTTCCATAGAAAACAGGAGATAATGGTGTAGATCATGCTGAGGAAAAGTATCAAGTCGGTTTCTCCTTGAGTATTTGCTTCCATTATGCCGTGTAAATAATCGCTATTGTGTTTGTCAAAAGCCATCCTAAGCATCTTTAGTCAAATAAAAGGAAAACCCTCTGAGCACAAAATCAGCCTTTTATTTTATGCCATCTTACTTCATCACAGAGTCCCAGCTTCAAAGCCGCATCAGTAGGTAGAAAGAAAGTAGAACCCTGGGTGGCTCTTCAACATATAAGCCCATCTTGAGCTATTAATATCAGAATGGCAATGTTTGGGCAGATAGAGCGCCAGTCCCCTGAATCCATTGAGATGCATTTACTTTGAAAATACCAGACTTAGGACATCTCTGAAAACACAAGGAATGAATAATGGATAAGAAAAGTTCAAGGGTGGAAAATGACAGCGAATAATCCTTCTCATTTAGCCAGTTCCTCACTGGCTTATAAAGTCTTTGCAGGACCATTGTCACCCAATTCTTCAAGGAGCCCATAAGGATGTGTTTTGTGTTTTTATGCAATTTTAAATGAGGGAAGAACATGAACTGTCCAAAAGCAGTGATCTGTCCAAGGTCATACTCCCAGTCAGTCATGAAATTGAGTCTGTATATTTGGAAGTTATTTCTTAGTGATTGTGGCATGCTGGAAAGCATATAGAAAAGTGCAGTACCTTCAGTTAAATCTGTTCTATCTTTGTTTACTGCATAGTCAAATAAGAACACTCCACAGAGAGGAAAATTTTGTGGTTCTGTTGATCAGTCGAGGATTCAGGGAATGAACAAAGAGAAAATGAAAAATGACTTTGATTCCCATTTCAATCATAGCCATAATAATTGTTGTAAAATATATTTGCAAAAGATTGTATGATCTTTTTCTATTGAATAATTAATTTATAGCCCTTGTAGGAAAATTAGAAAACACAAGCAGCAGAAATAAGATTAAAATAATAAAAAATAACATGGTATACCCTAGAAACAAACACTGTTGTTTTTTATTCCCTTCCAGCTGTTTTCTTTTCTTAATTTTTAATGAAAAACAACTTAAACAATGCATCAGTTTTCTCCTCAGCATGTGATAAGCATTGGTCTGCATAAGAACGCTGATGCTAGTGTCTTCTAGCTAAGATCCTTTTCACTAAAGGGCAAGATTTGGCTGTTATTTTTAAGTTCATTCGTTTTACACACCTTTTGCCAATTACGTGATTAGCTCTTTTAGGATGAGTTCTTAGAATGGAGTCAGTACACCGAAAGCTTTTTTGTTGTTGTTATCTTTTTCTATTTTCCTTTTATTACAAATGGATTTTTTTCATATAATGTACTTTGATTTCTCTCTAATAGGCCAAGTATTCACTGGAAGTGTTTCACCGATTTCTGAAAGCCTCAGGAAATTCACTTCATTCTTATACCCCCACTAAGCTCACATAACTTCATCTTAGCCTTCTAATTGGCAAATAATATAGTAATGTCATTTCAGAATTCTAATTTCGTTTATCATCTGCATTTTATGTAAACTTCCATAACTTCTTGTTTTTTTTCTCCTTTTAAAATTTAGTTTATTTTCTTTCTTTCTTTTTTCTTTTTTTTTCTCTCTCTTTTTTTTTTTTTTTTTTTTTTTTTTTTTTTTTTTTTTTTTTTGCTTATGTATGTGGTGGGGTCAGGTAGATGAATGTAAAAGTGCATTTTGCCTTCCAAGGCCACAGAAGCCAGGGATATGGTATCCTGTTGGCGCTAGAGGTACAGGTGGTTAAAAGCTTCCTGATGTGCTGAGAAACCAACTTCTGTCCTCTCTCTGCAAGAGTAGCACATGTTGCTCCTCCGAGCTGTCTCCCCAGCTCCTTTGCTGAATTCTTAGAAACTGGCTGTTCACAGTCTTTTCCCATGTCTCAAATAATTAACTCACAATTTTACAGTTGAGTTTAAATATCAACTCTTGGCAATGTTAACCTTTAACCTGACCTTTCTACGCAGACATCCTGATGTATCAACAT